GCAGAAAAATAACTTGACCTTTGGAGACATCATTAATATAAATAATTTTTATGGCCGTTGATTAAGAAATGTTTCTTTCACAAGAAATGTATAAAATTAAAGTGCTGTGTTAGACTTACGGTACCTAATTTACATACTGTACAGACGATAATAAACTCAACTTACTAGCCTAAACTCTCCATAGCGTAGCGCTAGATGGTGGAAATTATATATATAATTATAATAAAGTTACAATAAATTAAGTTAATATATAATTATATGTACAGTACCTAATTTATATATAATACTGTACAGACGATAGCAAACTCAATTTAGCCGCCTAAACTCTCCGTAGCGTGGCGCAGGGCGGAGGAAAGTAGTTCGGCTGGTCATCCACTATTTGTCCAGGTTCTATCAATCTTGTCGCGATACGAGTCGGCGACGACGTTTTAGGAGTTCCTTTATACGAATATTGCTACAATTTTTTCGCTACGTCATAGGAATTTCCGTTATAGGAACCCACGTTATAGGGGGGGTCGACTGTAAATATAGGTGGCGTATGAGTCGACCAAAATGGCTGCCACAAAGGGTATAACGTGCCTGACAACATACGACAATTACTTGTGTGTTGTCTTTGTAATAACTTTTCTCTCTGTAGTCGAAACGTTTTATCCGCATTTATGTCCGACATTAATCCAAGTTGATTTCGTAGTTGTTTAAGTCACGACTATTACACTTTGTGACATTTTAGAATATGTGAGTGATCGAAAAAGATGTCTTATAGAAGGAGAGGAAATGCAAAAACTGATAACTTCATATCTATCCACGTCTTTCTCGGCAAATAATTCCTTTCAGTTTCACCAACACCTAATTTTGCTGAGCTTAAAATTCTTTTACTTTTACGAACGTTTTCACCCTATGTAATATAAGCCATCGTCAGTTCTAATATTTTAAATGATCCAAAATGAAACGTACCGTTTTCGAATATCTAAATACATAAAATTACTTCTATGTAAAATATTCGAAAACGTTACGTTTCATTTTGGATCATTTATAATATTAGAACTGACGATGGCCTATATTAGATAGGGTGAAAACGTTTGTAAAAGCTCAGCAAAATTAGGTGTTGGTGAAACTGAACTGATAACTTCAGTTTTATTTCCCACTTTTTTCGCAGTAATTTATCTTTTGGGGAGGTGTACATACGTACTGAGTTTGATGAACTTTTAGACTTACATCTAAATACACAGCAATACTTACTATTTACCATTGTAGGTTGAACACTTTCTAATTCTAACAGACCACAGACTTTATACCCCATTATGTAGCTCGCGCTAATACAGATAGGTGTCAGATCTATTGTTGGCACAAGCGAATTGTATTGTCCGAAAATATTTTTTTATTTTGCACAAACAAAATAAATATATTAATAAATGTAAAAACAAAAAAACATTATATTTCGGAAGTTACTTTTAATATAAAATTATAACGACTAGTGCCACCTAATTTCAAAAACGTCCGATGCTGAAACGATATATCTTAGGTCAATCGGTCAAGGTCATCAGGTCGCGACCAGAGAGGTAAATGGATTTTTTCAAAGATTCGATTGTCAAAATTCGATTTCGCAACTTTTGCATTTCCAGCTTCCCAACGATATACGCATGCGCAAATTTCGCACTCTTGCCTGTTTGTAGAAAGATGTCGCCTTTTGTATTTTATTTTGACTCGGTTCTCGTTCCCCCGACTACCTACAAGTCTGACTTTTTTATGCGCGCTTGATTTGGGCACCTAATATTCTGTGCCAAATTGCAACTCCTGACATGTCCCTGTTATACCTCTAAGGTGTGCACCCGTGACGGCACCTGATTTTATAAACTACGTAGTCTTGTCAATAACATGAAAGATACATATTTTATGCTTTATGGTGTGATGTGAATCATTACAACAGTGTAATGTAAATTCTAACTGGCGAAATTTAAATGGCAAAAAATAATTTGTCACTGAACATCCATTTCTTAAAAGTGTTATTTACAATTGATGTAAGTGACTGTTTTATTATATTATGTTTATTAAGGGGTGTTGCAAAAATAAAGCTTTTGCTATTCTTCTACTCAGCACATATTCTAATATGCAACTGGACACAAAATGTGTATATGAATTTTGAATGGTGCAGTGGTAATCCCATATTTGTGCGGAAATTAACTGTCCGATTCTGGGTTTGTAAGTATTTCTTCTGGTTAAGTACATACACAGTGTACAGTAAAACCTATCCAAAACAGAACTCGAATGAAAAGGAAACAGCCTAAACGGAAAAAATATTCGGAACTGTTCGATTCCGATTTACACAGGTTTCACTGTGTATTTTATTCGGCCTACGGAAAGAGAGCTATGGAAGGAATGACAATAGGATTCATCATTCATATGAATATATACAACAGATATTTTTTATGCAGCCGCAACATCCATATTATCAATTAGATAATTCCTGAAAATTCCGTAATTCTAGTTAAGAACCCTACCAGTAATTCAATGATCCAAAACTTAAAAGTTTAATTATATTTAATTTGGTTGATTACATACAAGAAAGGAAGGATCCCAAAAAGAAAGGAAATATCATTATTATCAATTTAACTGTAATCCACAACCACAGCGTACTTATTGGGCTACAATTAAAAATAAAAAATTAAAAAAAAATTAGACCTTTAGATTCCCACTGTCGTTTTTCCGACTGTCTGTCCTTCCTTAATCTCGAGAACGGAGTTAGATAAATGACAAAAACCAAACATGGAAACCTTAGGGCAGAAGGTCCTGATTAACTATATACGAACTTCCGGCTTATACCGGAAGTGACATTATTTCAATTCAAAAGCTTTTTCTTGAACAGAGATTTTCTGGAACGTTTACAATCGTTCTATAATCGAACCAATACGCAATAACAAATTCGAATTTAAAATGGTTCGAACATTTGGTTAAAAAATCGAAATATATAAAAATATTTATAACAATGTCTGAAACGTTATCAATTTATTAGACCTAAGTACCCAATGAAGACTAAACGTAGTTAAAAACAAAAAACGCATCTAAAATAGTACAGTAGAAGCAGTTCGTCAGGTTAAGCCTTAATCCACTCCCTCTCACCCCGCGGGGGAATTTCGAAAAATCCCCTCTTAGTGTGCATTTTCACGACGTACCCTAACTGTGTACAAAGTTTCACCTCTTTAGGTTCAGCGGTTTGCTCTGGACGATGATGAATCAATTACTCAGTCAATCATTCAGCCGATCACTCACTCACTCAGTCAGGACAAGTAATTTTATATATTTAGGTTTCAAAAGCTTTTGTATTCATTTCTGCTTAAGGTATCTATCATTCATAAAGTTATAAAGGTTTAAGGAGAGTCGAATTTTGTTGACATCGGGAAAGGGAGAGGGGGAGTAAAAATTTCAAGAACGCAATTTATGGACAGTCCCATATGAATATTTTCAAATTCAGTAACCCATAAATAAACGTAACTTATTGACCTCTAAATGAACAAATTTTGTGGAAATTTGTCTTACAGCAACACAACGATGAGCCTGATTATCAGACGTGGCGGGTCAGGCATTTGAGCTTCATCTTGCTGATGCACACTCCGCTCATCATAAGAATTATCATTTCGTTGAGTATCAACATTTATGTTAGCCAAAGATGTTCTCTTTAGTTGTCTTCGTGGCACTAGTGGTCTCTGTAGATGCTGAGGAAAATTAAACTCTAATAGGAACCGATGTTTCATTCATGTGTGTTTTTTTTTTTTAACTCTTTCCGCCCTGTGGGCACTAAGAGGGCCTCTTTTAACAAGTCGATCATAGATTCGGCCAGGGCCACAATGGGGCGGACGGGTAGTGACATATCCGGACAGACCACTCCTTAAAAAATTCCTGGGGATTTTTCGACCCGTCCGAATTCGATCCTGGGTCCCCAGAGCGGTGGGCTCCCACCTTGACCTCTCGGCTATCCGGCCTGCCAGTGTAATACAGTACTATATAATATATGAGTGGTAGCTTACTGCTCTGGGGGACCCGGGATCGAGTCCGGACGGGTCGAAAAATCCCCAGGAATTTTTTATTTATAAAACAATAAAATATCAAAAGCTTTAATACTTTTTTGTTTTATTTCTTTAATATTGATAAATTTCATTAACTGCTTATTTATTGTCTTGTAGAAATTTTGAATATTGTTTCCAACGGCATTTCCTTTGAAGAACTGGCAACAATGTTAATATTGCGGGAACGGACTTGTATGAACAAGTCATTACGTAATTTTGGCGCCAAGGTTAAGCTGGGTAGATTCTCGTAAATTGTCTGTTTAACTGCAAACAAGTTAAGAATTCTGGACAGAAGTGTCGTAGATTAATTAATGATTAATCTAATGAATGTAAACTGAGAAAAAGACTCTGTAATCAGATTTAAGTAAGTTTTATATATTATGTTTGATTAATCGTATATATTGTATTTAAACGTAAGGTAATTGTTTATTTGCTATACACTAACATCAGCCTAATCTATAGGCCATCCTTGAGTGGCTGATTTTTAGAACATCAGTTACAAACTGTTCTAAAATTGAATACATTAAATATAGAACATAAAAGCAAAATTCCAAAATAAACTTAAAACCTAACAAAAGTGAAATAAAATATAAAAGTAGAACTAGAATAGAGTAGAGACAGGAGTTACCGGACCTGAGGAATTAGAAAAGATTATTTTTGATCGAAAGCAATTATTTAAAAACATACAAGTAGGTTAACGAGAGGCAATGCAAGCAAGGATAAAAAACAAACAAATTGGTTGAAAGAAAATGATTTAGTGTAGACAAGAGCAGATAAAAGCAAGCAGTTAGTTATTATGACCAGATGATCCTACAACAAAACTGTCTTAGACCGGGATTGCAACTGACGGCCCGTGGCCTTGATGGTATCTTTTCTAAAAATCGATGTTTGTTACGTCTTGAGGAGATTAAAACAGAAAAAAATGCAAACTTCTAATTTTTTAAATAAGTCTTAAAGGCCTGGTAACAAAAGAGTCTTTGTTAAGTATTTTTTTATTTTTTTCTTATGGAATAATGTTGAATATTATTTTTTGTATTTAAAATTTGTAATTCTAGTTCTATTTTTATATTCTATTTTATTTCACTTTTGTTAGAATTTAAGTTTATTTTAGAATTTTTATGTTACTTTTATGTTAGAATAATTCTTTTTCAATGCTGTATATATCAACTGGTGGGACACCAGTTGATATATACAGCACTGTGTAAGAAATGGCTATTTTATTATGTGTAAAGTACATTCAAGAAGCATGGCAAAGTACAGAAAGTAACAAATATAAAACTTACAAATAGTATTTTCTACATCATATGGGAGGAATAAAGCTGCGGATTTCATTTAACATTGCAGAAATCATTGTGATTTTTTCAAGTTTGAATTATTTTGTTTTATTAAATCTACTTGACTTTTCTTATTCTCTTACTTTTCTGTTATGTCAATAAGATGACAGCGTTGCGCATTGGATTACAATTACAATTAACAGAAAAGTACCAAATTTTATTTTTATGTTCATAAAGAACATAAAAATAAATTGAAACTCCACTCAGCTTCTTTTAAACCTTTAATAAATCTTTTAAACCTTTAACTAATTCGAATGACCCGCATGAATACAAAATGTCAGCATTTCGGGCACTCATTAGGAGAGCGTTTACTTATTGCTCTAATATATTGGATAGGAGTAAAGAGATTAACAGAATTAAGGAAGTAGCTACAAATTTGGGTTTCCGCAGAAGTACAATTGAAGGGCTAGTAAAAAGTTATGAAAGAGGCAAGAGGCTAAGAACGGGAACAGATCAATTTAAGATCACAAAATTTACGTATAATAAAAACTTCAAGAACATCATGAAGCAAGTTTCAAATAAAAAACGCTTTAAAATTGTTTACAAAAGAGGTCCTAATTTATACAGTATTCTTAGAAATGACAAAGACAAGCTTAAGAAAGAAGAAACAGCGGGCATGTATAAAATTCCCTTTGAAAACCAACAGCTAGGAATTATGAAGGACTATATTGGAGTCACAAGACGAAATTTGGCTATTAGGCTTAAAGACCACAGATATGACATTAGCAAAGGACATTGTACCACAGTTTTGTCAAATATGGCACAAGCGGAGGCTTCAGTAGTTAAATGGAATGAAGCATCTAGACGTTGAGGTCCCCATCTTTGGCGTTGCAACATGAAAAAATTGAAATTTATAAGAGTAAATTAAGAGACAGCTGTATCAATGCAAGGGATGCTGATGGTTTACCATCGGCATGGAAGTTCCTTGTAAAAGAAAAGTTAAAACATACAAATTCTTAGTTCCTATCTGCCCTTTATAATGTGATGTTTTTTATGTATATATTTTTATGAATTTAGTCCTTTTGTGGATTTAATCCTTTAGGTTTAGTTATTTTGTTTTTATTTTTATTTCTGTTTTTTATTTTTATATCGCCTTATTTATTATTTATATTAATATGGCGTCAATTTATTTAGTATACTTATTTTGTATATTGATTGGTTAATTTATTTTTCGTTTTAATTTTGAATTTATAATGATCGAACGTTCCATTTAATACAATTTTGAAATACGTTCGAATGCCAGTTCACCTGAAGATGGCCTATTCCATTAGGCTGAAAACGTTTGTTTCAATAAATATATCTCAGCATATAAGGTGTTAAGTGTTTTTATTAAAGAACATAAAAATAAAATTTGGTATATTCAAATATACCAAATTTTATATTTAAACAATACTACTTTCAACACACACCGTAACTTCAACAGACTTACTTCTAGAATAACTAAAACGGTGCTTAAATCGGAATTCTTTTAAAAAAAGATCGTTTCAATCGAATCTTAACGGATTTGCCCATTTTTCACCTGAAGAAGAACCAAAAGGTTTTATATTTAATATTTGAATATAAATTTATAATATAAAATTTATGTTCAAATATTTCAAGTTTGGTGTTCTATATTTAATGCCTTCCATTTTGAAACAGTATGTAACTGATGATCCAAAAGTCAGTCACCTGAGGATGGCCTTTACATTAGGCAGAAAACGTGTATAGTAAAATGTTTCTCAGCAGCCAAAGATGTTTAGTGATAAATTATTCTTTTTGTTGAGTATGGATTTGGCTAATATTGGAATTTTATCCAAAAATCTCAATTTATAAATTAAATTTATTATAAAAATTAAGAAATAAAATGTAATCCTGTAGTTTACATAAGTCAGCATGGACTGCAAAGTTTATAATCAATATTAAAATTATATGTAAGTAATGTAAAAAAACCAAATATATCTATAATTGTCTTTAAATATTTATGAGAATATTATTCAACTCATAAGAAATCAAAATTATTATGTTTGAATGGTTTAATTTTTTTTATCATTAATATGTTAAAAATATCTATGTAGTTTTACTCATAAATATTTCTGTATTTTGTAGTCAATGTTGACCTATAGGCTATAAATAAGGAAACTTTAAGAAAAATGCAGTGAATAAATATTATAATTTGAGTTTGTAAAGCTAGATCAATATTAGTTTAGAATTAATCTATATCTTGTTTAAATTTAGTTTTTTTCCCTTCTTTCTAAAATTGTTAATGTTTTTTAACTTTTAAGATTTTTTTACTGTTTTCATCCTGTGGGCATTAAAATGGCCTTTTATCAAATCCATCATAGGTTCAACCAGGCCCATTATGGGCCTGGCTGAACCTGGATGATGACACCTGACATATCTAGGACAGACTACTACTAAAAAATTTCTGGGGTTTTCAAATTGTCTAGATTTGTTCTCAGGTCTTCAGAACAATAGGCTGGCACCTTAACAGCTCAGCCATCTGGTTTTCCACTTAATTATGCTCTAATGGAATTTAGATTCAAAAATTCTGATTTCTTTTGCATTGGAACTTAAACTTGTCAATTACTGATATAAAGATTTTTTTGTTTTTTTTTTAGATTAAAATTCAAAATTTGATTAAATTATAGAAAATTCTTATAGCTTTTCTACTTTTGCATTATGATGAATTTCACAATAAAAATAGCCAAAATGTGCATTAGTTGTCAGAACTATCTGCACATCTAATGTTGTGGTCACACCTCACATTTTCCAGCTGTTCAGGCAACTGCAATCGCAATGACTGTTCCCATTAACTAGTAAACTTCCTTCAAAAACCAATGTGACTGCAACTGCAACTAGAAACAAAAAGTTTGTTCTGCTCACATCCATTGCAAATGCTCATCCAATAGGCAAACGCCTTTGTACCACGTCATGCGGTGGCAACATTGAAAATAGTTCATCATTATGGCAGAAAGTAAGAGGATTGATTCATTTACAGAATCAAGATTGATTGAGCTTATTCAGACTCACTAAAGCATGTGGGATTTTAATTCTTCACTTTAAGAAAAGATAAACGAGTGCAGGTATGGAGTGAGCTAAGTGAGTGTCTCGCCATTGATTGCAAAAATCATTTTTAGATTTCTGGATATAAAATGTTGATTGTTTTTGGTTTAGTAATGACAATATTATTTAAATATAGCTAAAGAACTAAATAGAAAGTATCGCCATTTGCCAACAATATTCCTTTACATTAAAGAAAAAAATATAGCAGATGAAGTGGATGTTGGTTTATTATAAATTTACATGTTTTCAAGTTGCAACGCCAACAAACAATGTGACCGTGGCAAAACACGTGCAACTCATGCTCGTTGCAGTTGTAGTTGCCTGCGTGGCTGAAAATCACTAGGTGTGATCATTGCTTAAGGTTTAATCTAATAGTTCAAGAGAAAAATTGTTGGCATGACATCAACTCTATGTATTTAAGTTACTTAATCTAATGGTTTTCTGCTAATGTTTGTAAGGCATACTAATGTTATCAAATGTGAAAAAGATAATAAATATTATTGTAGTCTGTAGATTAACTTAATTCAAAATTAGTGAATTTTATATATGAAAGCCTTTAACAAAGTTATTTTAACTTTTAATATTTAAAGTTAAAATAATTATTTTCTGTTAATTTTTCAACTTGGATGAGAAGTTTTAAGATTACAAGAATCATGTGAATACAAATATTTCATTAAAATTGTTTAGTCTGTATATTTCACATTTTAAAAAGTTTGGTGCATGAAAAAATCTCAAAGAAAAAGCACTTTCAATAGCTTAAAAATGTCAGAAACTTGTTTTATTTACTATCAAACTCTCAACAGTTTAAATAATAATCTTTTATTTCATATTAAAACATTAACTAGATGTTATTAAAATTGAAAATTCTCACATCTTAAAATTATAAGTAATGTAGCTATGGATATATGTAAAAAAATTTAATATAAATTTTAAGATTAATATAGTTAATTAAAAATGACACAATAATAAAAATTTAATCACAAGATGTACTTTTGCTACAGCCAATACAGTTCCATTTGAGGGGTTTTAGCAAATTGAGTTGTTTAGACAAACATAATGACAAATAATTAATAGTTATACTCATAATTTTAAATGTAAATAAACTAGAAAAACTTACATTGATTTTTATATTTAATATATAAATATAAAAATCTGGATAGAAACTGTTAAAATGACAGTTTGTCCTCATTTTTATGATTTTTGTCATTTGTTGTTAATCATTAAAACAGATTTATTGGTGATAATGTTATAAATAATAATTAAAGTATTAAATGAAATCGTTCTAGACTGCATACTGTAATATCAAAACACTAAAACACCTTTTCTTGCAGCCGAAGTTTATAAGAGAAACTTTCTAACGTTTTCGGTCTTGTTAAAAGACCTTTCTCAAGAAAATAAATCAAATACAACAACAAATTGTAAATCGAACGCTTAGTACAGTTAACACGTTTTTCGAATATTTTCAAACTAGCTTATAATCCGTTGCAAATGACGTCATTGTGAACTTAGCAACGGAAATATAAAAATATTACATAAATATCTAAATATAAATACATATAGTTACCATCTCCCTACATCATTTAAAAATACGTAGCCTAAGATACATAGTAACTACTTCCCTCAATTATTAAGTTTATATTAAGCTAGAGGACCATGCTGCCGATATTTTTGTCGATTCCCGAAAGTTGACTGCAAGGCCTTTATGCTTTGCCTTACAAATCTGCCAGGCTTCCGCGTAATGCCGGTGTTTCTTGTCGCGGACTATCTGCATTAGTCTTGCTTGGTCCCATTCAACTTTGACGTCTTGCTGGTCCGCTAGAACGTAGGTGGCTAGCGCAGTGCATGGTTGTTTTTTTCTTATATTTGCTTGATGTTCTGCTAACCTGTCTTTGATACATCTTCCTGTTGCCCCTACATACATTAATTTACTACGTCGCCTTGAGTCCGTAACTGGAATTTTATATACCCCGGGGAGTGTTCTTCTGTCCACTAAATCCTTATCAGATCGTAATAGTTGGTACGTGGTGGGGGTTCTTTTATATACGATTCTTTTGTTCTGGGCCTTTCCTATGCGTCGGAAAATATTATTCAACGAAGCATTATATTCCATCGTTAAAACTCCTTCATTATGAGGTAAATTTCTCCTCTTAATGCTCCTATTACTCTTGTTGATAATAGCTTTAAGATTAACCCCGTGCTTTCTGGCTAAGTTATATATATAATTCAGTTCCTCGTTTCTATCTTTTGTATTGTTACAGTGCGAATAAGCTCTTGAGATTAACGTTCTAAACGCTGCTATTTTATATGCTGGAGGATCGTGAGAGGACCACGGAATAAATATAGGGTTATAGGATGGCTTTCTGTACACTTTAGTCGTGAAATCTCGTACGTTGTTAATTTGTATATGCAAATCCAAGAAATGTATGATCTTATCATTTTCTTGCTCTAACTCTATCTCCAGGCCGAATCTATTGTCATTTATATCCTTTATAAAGCTCTGTATGTTGGGTTGAGTGTTCCAGAAAATAAGTACGTCGTCTACATATCGAGCATACATTATCATTTGCGCTTCATACTTCGGCAACACAGCGTTTTCTAGCGTTGTTAGTACCATTTCACATAGAGTACCTGCAAGGGGGCTGCCCATAGCTACCCCTTTTTTCTGTGTGTATGTAACATCTTTGAAGCTAAATAACGCTGAGAAGACTGTAAGGTGTGCCAAGTCTAATATGTGTTTTCTTTTCTTTTCTGGAGACGGGATCTTGCTCAGTAGTAAGTCCCTTAAATGACAAAAGCATGGTTCCAGTTTAACGGAAGGATACAAGGCCTTGTAGTCTAACACCGTCATATATTTCACTTCTTGCGAGTTAATATTAGCCATTTTGTTTAAAACCTCTATCGGTTGCTTGACGCTGTATGGATTATTAGGGCCATGCTGCCGAACAAAGTTGTGTACCCATTTTTCGAGTAATATTGTAGGGGCGCATGCTTTATCGACAACTGGTCTTATTTCTTTTTTCTTTTTATGGGTTTTAGCAAATCCAAACAGCCTTGGAGTAGAAGGGGATTGTACGACTATATTCTTCATACCTAGTTCTTTAGCTAGCGGAGTGGTTGCGAACCTCTTGACTCTTGCTTGCAGTTTCCCTACGGCGTTGGGGGGTGCGATCGTACAGCACGTGTCTTTAATGTATGCTGATAGAAGGTGGTCGTATGTGGTTCTCTTCATAACCACCATATCCTTTGATTTATCCGCCCTAGTGAGTACTATGTTGTTGCTTCTAATCCATTTCTGAGTTTTTCTAATACAAGGCCATATGGGATCTCTGTCTCTTTTACATTCGTCATGCTTGATTTTCAATGCGACTTCCCATCTAAACATTTCTTTCTTAGTTTCGCTGAGGCCCTCTAATGCTTGCTCGATATCTGGTATGAGTCTGTCCTGTTTGATTACCGGTATTGGGGCGTATTTAGGCCCGTATTTACTTGCTTCCTTTACGAATGTAGGCAAATCGATGTTGTCCCAGCATATAATCCTCGGGGTGATCGATTCTTTAAATCGATCTTTTTGATGTTTTACGATCCAGATCATTTTGTTCCTGTATCTCTTCTTACATCTTTCTGTCACTTGTGCGGCCAACGTTATTACTCGTGCGTTAACTTCTGTTAAGATCTTAGGGTCGTAGTCATATAGTTCATTCTCTAGCTCTATTAGTTCGTTCTGCAGGACAAACTTTCTCCGTCTAACATTGCGGATCGCCTTACGTAGACAGATTGTTCTAAGTTTAGGAATAAGCGACGCGCATCCATGCGGTAAACGTACCCTCCAGATTGACATGGGAAATAGGTTATGAACTCTGCATTCCGTCAAAAATTCTAGCTTCGTATTATTTCTGCAGATCTTTAGTATTAAGGTTCTATACTTTTTGGCCGGCGATGCCAAATTGCACATCGTTCTAGACTGCATATTTTAATATCAAAAAACACTTACTACAACACCTTTTCTTGCAGTCGACGTTTATTAGAAAACTTCAAACGTTTTCGGTCTTATTAAAAGACCTTTCTCAAGAAAATACGATTAAATAAAGAACAAACACTGTAAATCGAACACTTAATACAAATAACTCTTTTTTGAATCTTTCGAACTGGCTTATAATCCGTTGCGAATGACGTCAGTGTAAACTTAGCAACGGAAATATAAAAATATTACATAAATATTTACATCTAAATACGTATAGTTGCCATCTCTCTACATTATTCAAAAGTACGTAATCTGAGATACATAGTGACTACTTCCTTCAATTATTAATATTATAATAAGCTAGAGGACCATGCTGCTGATATTTTAGTCGCTTCCCGGAAGTTGATTGCGAGGCCTTTATGCTTTGCCTTACAAATCTGCCAGGCTTCCGCGTAATGTCGGTGTTTCCTGTCTCGGACTATCTGCATTAGTCTTGCTTGGTCCCATTCAACTTGGACGTCTTGCTGGTCCGCTAGAACGTAGGTGGCTAGCGCAGTGCATGGTTGTTTTTTTCTTATATTTGCTTGATGTTCTGCTAACCTGTCTTTGATACATCTTCCTGTTGCCCCTACATACATTAATTTACTACGTCGCCTTGAGTCCGTAACCGGAATTTTATATACCCCGGGGAGTGTTCTTCTGTCCGCTAAATCCTTATCAGATCGTAATAGTTGGTACGTGGTGGGGTTCTTTTATATAGGATTCTTTTGTTCTGGGCCTTTCCGATGCGTTGAAAAATATTAGTCAGCGAAGAATTATATTCCATCGTTAAAACTCCTTCATTAGGAGGTAAATTTCTCTTCTTAGGGCGCGTTTTACTCTTGTTGATAATAGCTTTAATATTAATCCCGTATTTTCTGGCTAAGTTATATATATA